TTGATTGATATCGACTTTACGGTCAATCGGTTTTCTTCTTACTCCTCGTTTGGGGCCGGTATGTCGTCTCGATAGGATTAATTCGAGTTTTCCAAAATCTTACGATATATTGGGATTGACGGCGAAATCTAGCGTGAAACCCCTTATATACGTTGTGTACTATGGACAAGACTGCATAATTCCCGCTGAAGACTACATAATTTCTGTAAAAGATTACATAATTACTGCCAATCAATCCTAGTCCACAGCCGTGGTAAACTTTTGATGGGATATTCCATACCTACCTGTCACCCCTCCGGGATAATGCATTTTTCACGCATAATTACCTCTTAACCAATCAGCATCTTAGTTTCAGTAAACTAGGTTTTTCATTAGATGAGACCATAAAACTGTAGCAAGTTTGAGCAAAAATATCTTTTCCCGCTCAACACTTTGGAGCCGATTTTGAGACCACAAACTCAATAAATAGAATCGTTTTGATTCGATTCAAACAGTCAGAACTTCAATCCTGGAGAGATGCTAAACAAATCCACGCTAGCCAAAACTTTGACCTAACTACACTTTTTGCACACTAATTCTTCTGACTCGAGAAACAGCACTTCGCTCTCTCAGGAACACTACTTACAACATACCAAAGAAAGTGAATTGACCCACTACTAAACAGTATTTGTAAATCTCAATCCAACATCAACACAATCTTACAAACTTTGAACAGTAACTTTAACAAACGCACACATACACACTAGTGACTGAATTCCCACAAGACACTTTGTAATACAATAAAACATTTGCTTAATTTCATACACAAATCCTAAGCACAAGCCTACACACATTGAAACTCAGCATAATCCTTCTACATATTTTATTACAACTGGTCGCACTTAATCAGCAATATCTATCTTGATTGTGTATGTTTAATTGATATAAAATGAATGTTATTTGTTAAACATTTAATCACGTTGTCCTCATTTTTGATTCCTCTTGAATGATTTTACCTTTCAACGTTCTTATTTTTATATTTGTTGTGGATGAATGTCTTGAGAACACCTACATTTCTAAGCCTTCTAATAAATTGACCATCTGATACACAAAATACATTCGCCAATCTGCAACACTTTTGTCTCTTTCGTCCGGCCGATCGTCGGAACTCAGGCTGGAAAAAAACAACAGGTTTATAGAATATAAAGAAAAAAAAACTGGTTGAATATCTCTATTAGCTACTGCAAATCAAAATACTCTACTAAAGGAGTTGGTGATGTGGAGGTTCAGATTCCAACCGTTAAAGTGATGACTAGTCAATTCTTTGGTTATGAGAGTGTCTGTTTTTGTACCGGCCCAGAAATTGTGGGTACGCTCATTAGCAATGACTGTCTTACATGCAATTCCAAGCCGTTGAAATTTCAGGTACAAATTACATAATTTCTTATAAGTTATTATATTTGATTAATAAGTATATTTAATGTACACATTAGTAGGACTAATCAAGGGATTCCTATATTCATTTATTCAAATAAAAGGAAAATTTTAAAAGGTTAAATTAAAAAAATATAAAACTTTTTAAAAATGAATATTAAAACAAAGTATTAAAATAACATAGTCGAAGAATAGCGAAAAAATTATTTGAGCAAAAGTTTAATACTTATTCGCTTATTCAAATACTAGTTCCATATGCACACATACACACACACACACACATATATGTGTGTGTATGACCTAATATTTTGCAGCACACTTAAGAGGATCATGGAGGACATTAGAGTATCACAGCACGGCAGTTTGAGACTCACTGCTTTAATCTAACAAAATATTTCCAAACATTTTTACTTTTGAAATTAGGGAAAATCTTGTTTGCATCTGTATCCTCTATTATATACTATCCCATAATAGTTGTTATATTTGCATACATATTAAGATGTTCATTATGAACAATGAGTCAACAAACTGAATAAGAAACTGTATCTAGAATTTATCAACTCTTGTGTTGTTTATAATCTATTTCCATGTGTAATTGGAAAAACTTATAAAAAAAATAATTTGGATTTCTCATGAATTTCCACTCCTTAATCAAACACATTTTACCATCTGGAGCAATCTTTTAACCAGGAATGTCAGCCTTGTTTTTTTTTTGGGTTTTTTTAAAAAAAAAAAAAAACAAAAAAAAAAAACAAGTGATGAAAAATGATACTGTTTATCATAAAATGAGAGCACAATGACAACACCACATCTATTCACAAAAGTTCTTAGTTTTTTTTAGTAGAATATGAATGATAGCATCCATCATAAGTTATTGAACCTAGGAAAGATCAGGCCTGCAAGCATTTATTGCCAGTGACTTAATCAAATGAAACACGGGTATACTCTGCAAAAAGAAACCCAAGAAAAAAAGATGGAAGGTTTCTCCATACCCTCCATACTCACCAGACCTAGCACCTAGGGATTTTCATTTTTTTCATTCACAAGAACATTTTGTAAGAATCAAAACATTCAGAAACAAAGAAGTTGAAAAGAGTCTTTCAAACATTTTCATTGAAAAAGCCAGATTTCTTTAAACATACAATTGAAAATTTGTATTCCTGGTGGGCTGCAATCACTGAAAATGAAGGTGATTGCATTTTTGATAATATTTAAATTTAACATACACTTGTTTTCATAATCTTTCTAGTAAAATATAATTACTTTCCAAACACCCTAAATCTAACAACTATCATGGGACAGAATTAGTATATATTTTATTATTAAAATAAATTAATTTAGTGTTATATTCCAAACACATCCTGTATCCAACTAGCAAATAATTATATAGCTTATTGTTCATCTCTTATTACACATTCTAATGCCTGTATAATATTGCACACTGGATACTGAGAGGAAGTAAATGTGGTTTTGGTTTTATTCTTTGTAATATGGTTACAAGCTAAGTTTAAATGGTTGCACAGAGTCAAACATTTGAATGAGGGTTAAAACTCCAGTTTAATTACCACTGTTGACTAATAGAATTTGAGTTTCATCTTATTAGCTTTAGTAACAATTCAAATGTTATGGCAAAATGGTACATTTTCCAATTTCAAAGTAGATATTTACTAAAGGTGAAACAGGATTTGGATATTCTTTTCATGCTATGGCATTATTTCATCTTCCCTTCTTTTGTTGAACTTACACCGGAGTATACCAAGATTTTTTTTTATCCATTGACAGAAACAGGAACTGAATACATTAGTTGGCTTGGCGGGGGGGGGGGGAAGCAATGGGAAAGGCAGCAAGGACTGAACTTGATACACATAGTCTTACTATTATATGAGAGTAGGTATCCTTAATATTTATTAAGCTTAGGTTGAAATATGATAAAACAAAACCACAGGAGATTTCATGAATTTGGTGACAGTAATTGTTAGTTCAATCCCTGGGCTGTGCAGAGACTCAGTTGAAATGGGGCAAATAACTTAGCACTACTAAAAATAAGAACTAGACATGGGCAGTGGAACAAGAACAGCCTACCCTTTTCAATTAAATAAAGGGTTCTGTTTGGAATTCCACATTATGAATAATTGTTCTAAACTGGGATCATCTATAATTATTTAAATCTATTGTGGCTTGGTTTTATTCATGCTGTTGTCATCATCTTTATTGATTTTATCACAACATTTTGGCCATTGTGCTCTCCAGTCTTCATCAGGTGTATATATCAATCTTGTTAACCTAAAGTGTATTCTGAACTGAACTCTTTATTTAATCTATGAAGATAGAACAGTACTAAAAATAAGAATTAGACAGGATATCCCTAGACATGGACAGTGGATCAAGAACAGTCTACCTGTTATAGAATAAATAAAAGGTTCAGTTCCCTGCATGTTACCCAAATGAATGCCAGATAGTACACCAGCCAAAATGTGATAAAGAGGAAGACATGTTTGAATGTAGATATTGTAAATAAGAATATTAATCCAGACAACTCATGAAACCATTTAGATTAGGAAAACAGTTCTTAACAAGTGATTCATAAAACCATCAATTATTGAACTACAGCAATAGTTAACAGTAATAATCACACAAGCCATTGTATGATTATTACTGGTTGCCTCACTCTAGCAATTTCGTTTTTTTTAGTTTTAGTTACTGCTTATTTCAAAACAGCTAAAATAAAAGAAAAAATTTAAAACTGGAATTTGTTTTTCTCTCAAAGATTTCAGATGAAAAAACATCAACATGTCTAAATGTCACAATTTTACATTCAAGAATTTCGAAGCAACAAGAAAAAATAGATTTTGTGAAAATTTGAGAAGACGTATTTATTTATAACTTTTTATTAATGTACAAGGGGAATGGGGAGGAGGAGAAGAAAAAAAATCAATTCTTTTGGAAGGAACATGAAAATTCTTTAGATGACCACAACATTGCAGCATAGATTGACTCCAGCTAGCAAAGAATTGTGTGTGCCAAATTGGCAAACATGGAGCAACACAAAAAAATTGGCAGACATGGAGCATTTTGAAGCATCTTAAAAAATTCAATTGAAGAAACACAAATGAAACAAAATTCTTCCAAATAAATAAATAAATAAATAAAAAAAAATGCTTTCCCATAAAAATTTAATTCCGATTTCCCCATACCCCAAATGAAAAGAAAAATAAAATTTCCATCTTTAATTCAACATTTTCTTTAAGAATATATATCATGGTTCAAGTTAATTTTTGTAATTTAAAATTTACTTTCAAATTGAAAATATTTATCAAATTAAGGAATTTAAAAAAAAATGTCTGAATCAGAAGAAAAATTAATTTTTTTTTATTTTTTTACTTCGATAAAATTTAATTTATTTTATTAAAAATGATTAAAATGTTTTATTGAAGAAATGTTTTATATAAAATTATTGATTAAAAAAATATGTAGGATTAAAAAAAATTAAAATGTATCATTTATAAAAGAAACTAAACTATTTTTTATTTTTTTTAAATAAAACAAAAAATATTTTTATGTTTTTCATTTAAAAATTCTTGTTATATTTAGACCATTTGCAAATATTGCAAAGTTAAATGCATTTTTTCAGTCTTTGTAAAAGTCAATAAGGAAGGAAAAAAAAAAAAGAAGGTACTTTCAGCCTATAAAACAATTAAAAAGATAAGATAAAAATAATAAAATACTAATAAAAATAAATGTATCTTTTTTTTTTTTTCTTCAAATGTTTGATTCCCTTCATGCTATAAGCAAAAAACAAAATTTTTTTTTTTTTTTTTTTCATCTTTTACTATAAAAATGTATTGCATCATCATCACAATCAATTTCAAAATATAGTTTATCAGACGATTATCTCTTGGGTTTTATTTCATTTACCCCACCCCACAAGAAAAAAAAAACAAAAAAAAAAACAAAAAAAAAAAAACAGCACTTTAATGACCAACAACTTCTTTAACAATATAGTCAAGTAATTTTTTGTTTTTTAAAATTTGTAAATGTTCAGCATTAGGAATTACATAATGGTGTACAGGCTGTGACTGTTGCTTCTGCCACCGGAGGCACCCCAGTAAGCTTCGTATATTGACGGTCCCATCCCCAGCTCCGCTTTTTACACTTGGTTGCTCATCAGGGAAGCCATTTTGGAAATTCAGTTGTGCAGGTGTTGATATGTTAACGCCATGGATGCAGAAGACTTCCACACCAGGTGGGGTCAATTTTTTTATCAGGTTTTCAGTGTCTTTTCGCATCATATAACCAGCTGGGTAGTTTATGTCGTCAAAAAACTGCTTATAGTCATTAACAGTGTAATTGCGTTTTGGTTGGCTGACAAGTATTTCATCAGCTCCCCAGAAGGTGTCGTATGGCATCAGCCAGGCAGTTGAAGTGGCACTACGTTGGTATTCCCGGACAAGATGTGGTTTCACCACAAATATACCCAAGTTGTCACCTGCAATGTTAAAAAATATGACAAGTTAAATTTACACACTATCATAAATTAAACCCAAAACATTGAATTGAGACAACTTTTCATAAAACTTCAGCAAATATTTTCTTCCACTACATGAGAGCAAGAAAGAAGGAGAAAGAGATGAAGTGTAGACATATATTGGCAACTCTTACCCAAGATACCACCTGGCCAATGATCACTCCACATGGTGTTTCAATCTTTGATCTCAGCTGTGGTCACTGAAAGCTGGGTAAGATCACACTGCATGTCCACAAAGTAACACAATGAAAGAAAAACTCCATGTTCAGATAGATGTTTTATTCAGGGTTTTTCCTACTTGTCTAGGTCGGTAGGTAGGTAATACTTACTATTGTTATGAAGAGGGTGCTGAAAAGTTCTTGGCTCAGTTCACTCTTTAAAAATCAAGCCAAAATAGAATATCTGGAAGAATCCATTTTTGGTCGAGCTGAGAACTTTTCAGCAACCTTTAGATATGTTAAAAAAAAAAAAAAAATATTGACACTTTTCTATAAACATCATTATTAACTTGGTAACATAAAAGAAAAAAATAAATAGATTAATAAAATAAAATTTTCAAGTTATTAATATATCTTATTACTATAAACATTATTTTTAATGGATACATGCATTTGACTTTATATCCTGTTTTTTTGTTTTTTATTTTAATTTTAGTGAAATTAATAAAAACTAGCTTAGATGGAGAAGAACTACGAAAAAAAAATGTGCTTCCTAAAAAAACCCCAAAAAAAAACACACAAATAAACAAAATAATCAAATCTGTATCCCTTTTTCTACCAATGAAAAAAAAAAAAAAAAAAAAAAACTACTACCTATTTAAGGAAACTATAAAAATTTTATATTTTATTATTGTTAGTCTTTGTGTAATAAATGTTTAATCATTTAGGTTGTTTTTGTACACATTCTTTTGAGAGAAGTGTATTTTTAAGAAAGTCAGATAGTTTGTGGAAAAAATTATTACACAAGTATATCTTTTTAGGCTCAGCAGTTAAAAACTGCCAAAATTGTTAAGGATCCATTTCAAGTTCATGGAAAAATATTTCTACATATTGTTTGTCCAAAGAGAGACACGATCCCAAGCCCTTGTGAAAACTTGGATGGAGCCTTATGTGAGTCTATTTTTTTTTTTTTTTTTTTTTGCATAAATAGAACTCTGGTTAGCAGATAACACCAGAAGGTATTTTGACAGCAAGGGGACAAAGCAAATTAACATCAAGGAGGACAAGTTATTTTGTCAGTAAAGAAGAGAAGGGCAAGAAGATACAAAGTTACAAGCTAGCTGCAGAAAGCCTAAAGAATTTTGAAATTCATAAGTGAAAATTCTCCAGTGGTTCGACAACGAAAAAGTATTCAAAGAAATCTTCCCAAGCACAAAGAGTGGGAATATGTCATGGGACAAGTAGGTGTTTTCATGTTTTCTAAAAGGTAGTTGAAACTTCGTATTTCTGCCTTCTTGAATGCGTTTCCTTTTTATTTTTTTTTCAAAATTGAATCAATCTTTTTCTAAATTGTAATCCTTTTTTTTGCAATATATCTGTAAATGTTATCCTGTATTAATTATTTATAAGGCACACAAAAAGAAATTTTTGTGCAAGAGTCTTGTATGAAAATATTTTCCTTTTTCTGTATACTGTAATAAATATATTTGTCCTTTAAAATCTTACACAGTGTTTCAAATTTTGATTGCACCTTATAAAACTTTCTATTCCTACTAACTAGGTTTTTGAGTTTGGCGCAAGAATTTAGATTTAATAGGGAATGAAAATGTTTATAAAACATACATCTTACTTTGGGACTTTCAGGAATAAAAACCTGTTAGCTTCATTTTCATACCCAAAATGTAAACAAAGTAATTTTTAAATAGATTTTTTTTTTAATTCAACATTATTTCTTTCTCACACGCACAAGTCTGGTTAAAGAGCAATGAAATTTAATTGCTAAGGATTTTTGTTTCTGATTTCAGCTGAGGCAATTTATGTCGACTATTGCTCTTGGAAAAGGCACAAACCAACTTTTATCCTGTGCTGTTGGAAATGAGGTCTTTTTGAATAAAAGACCTCATTTCTAACATGACACAATATCACTTAGGCAAACAAACGGTATAATTACCTTACTTGTTTTAGTAAGAGCAGAAAGAAGCTGTTACAACCATTACCAGTTTTGACAGACTCCTCATGTAGAAACAAATCTTTCATGGGAATGGGGATGTATATCCCCACCTTGTCTAAGTTGAAATAATATTGTTCCAGATTATACAATTGTATTAAAGGAAAAAGATGCAAAGTTAACAAAGAAATGAAGTTGTTTTTTTTTTTTTACCTGATGACATCAAGCGAAGTGTTTTTAAGGCACCACCCCAGACTCCAGAGATGGTAACCAAAGAACGGATATACTTGTCCTTCCAAGCTTGGCTCTGACGATTAAGGAAATACAACATGGTCGGTGATCCCATGCTGTGGGCCATTAGGATCACTCTGCTGTTATTATTTGCCTTATACGTCTCCAAGATCAGCTTTTTTACCTTAGAAAAATAATCTTGAAACTCATCTGCAAGAATGAAAAAAAAACAAAAAAGCATTTAAATGATTGGAACTCAAATCTGCACACTTTCTATTTCTACACAAAGTTTTATCTACACATCTTCTATGGGATAGGGTTCAGATAAGTGATAGAGAACAAAGCTGGAAAGTAAGAAAATTGAAAGAGGCAGTATATATTGGAATGTCAGCTAAGTCAGATTAGTGTAAATTTTGTTATCACAGGTGAGTTACTGATTTCACTTGGAGTTATATGAAATTGGGTACTTCTAGTTTTGAAAAGTGATACATATGTACCTAGATGGTACATATTTATCTAGGGTGGTATCTATATTTTATTAGTTTAAGTGCAGTACTAGGTTGGTGGCAAGGTCTCATCATTTTATAGTTGAAATGGCTGCTAGATGTAACCATAAGTTCTATGCTAACAGTTTCTTCTATTGTACTTCTCGCTTGTGGAATTCTTCTGGATTTTTGCTTCCAAGTCAACTTTGATCTTCAAAAATTTAAATGCAATGTCAATTGATATCGTCTGCTGTTTTAATTCTCATCCTTTTATTGTTCTCTCTCCTTAATCTAACACTCAATAACCTCTTGCATCCTAGTGGCTTTATTCTCTTGCTTGGGATGAAATGATTAAAAAATAAATAAATAAATAAATAAATAAAAATAAAAAAAAATATGATGAAGTGTTTTGCATGGAGCTATTTAGTTATTATACAATTGAATAATTAACAGATTTCAGCACCAGGAGGTCTTCTTTGATTAGTAAATGTATTTGAGAACTTCTTTACATATATTAGGATGTCACACATGAAATGACGCATTTTTTGGTTGGTTATTGATCCGGTTGTGTATCAAAGTAACCTTCTTAGCATATAAAAAAAAAAAAAAAAATCTTGACTTATTCTTGACTTTTCCTTTCCAGGTAATTTGTTTTTCAATATATTGTTACTCATAAGCCCAATGAAAATGATTACAATGAAACAATGTTGAGTAATCTTACTGTATGTGTACAAACTGGGAAAAAGAACAATTTTTGCATCGAATCATTGCATGCAATGAGAAATGGATACTCTTTGACAACAGTAAGAGAGTAGGCCAGTGATTAGATGCAAGTGAATCATCCAAACAATACCCCAAACATCCACTCCACCCTAAAATGTTAATGGTTACTGTATGGTGGTCTTTCAAAGGGATTAGTTACCATTTATTCTTGCCTCAAGGGTAAACAATAACAGCAACCTCTTATTGTGGAGAAATTGAGTGTATGTATAAAAATTAAAAAAGAAAGATTCCTGACTTGTGAGTAGGGATGGCCCAATTTTACTGCACGACAATGCACAGCCACACGGTTTTTAATCAACTGTCCAAAATCTGCATAGCCTGAACTATGAAATTTTGCTTCATCCTCCATATTCACCTGATATCTCTCCTACTGATTATCACTTATTTAAACATTTTAAGATTTTTATACACAATAAAACATTCTCCGTTAAGGAAGAGGTAATTGAAGCATTTGAACAGTTTTTCACATTAAAGAAATTTTTTTTAAAGATGAGATCAAGAATTTAGAGGTATGTTGAAGAACAGTCATTCATTAACATGATGCCTATTACAACTAAATAAATTAGTTATTTAACATTTCAGAAGCATTTTATTCATTTCCTATAAAGTGTGTCATTTCATGTGTGACAACTTAATAGTTTGCACCTGTTGCTAAAATTAACTGATTTGGCTGTCTCTTGTCTGAAGTTCTGCAATGAAGGATTATCATTATTTACATTCAGACTTTATTATCACAATACTTCAGCCATTGTGCCCTCTGGCCTTCTTCAGGTATCTATCGTAAAAGCACAGCATCTGCAGGCAGGCAAGAATATTAAGTTTAAGGCACCCAGTTCTAGATTCAGGATTGTTTCACATAGCAACCATAACACATAACAGTTCATGGATTTGGTGACATAGTAATTGCAAGTTCAATCCCTAGGCTGGGTAGTACAGACTCAGACTAGAAATGATTCTGCAGTACTAAAAAGAGAATATGAGATATCCCTAGACATAAACAGCAAAGGATAAGATAAAAGTTTGAAATTCCCTGAAGGTTACCCAGGTCAACAGACATGTGAAGGACACAACTAACAAAATGTAGGGATAATAAAAGAGGATATTAGTCCATGTTACTAAATAATGATCTGGATGGTAATTTTTTTGTGGGAAGTTTGTATAGAAATAGTCAAAGAATGCTGAAGAATGTATTGGACAAAATGTAATTAAAATTTGTTTTTGAAGTGCCAAAAAATTTGCATATATCAGAGGAATGAAAAAAAAAAAAAAAGAGATGATGAGGTGGGTACAGAATGTCATTTGATAAAATATAATTTTTTTTTTTTTAAAACTAAAAAATTAAAAAGAAAACTAAAAGAGAAAAGTTACTTACTTGGTGATCGCCTGAAGTCATATGGTGCTCCTCGCAAAGAGATGTTTCTTGCGTAGCCTTCTTTTATTAGCCTCTCAATAATATGAAAATAGTAAGTAGCTAGAAAAGAAAGGTCAGAGTTTACAAAAGGTCATAGGGAAGTAAAAGCTGAACAATAGAAGTGCATTTTTTAAAGTAAGGTTTCATATACATAAGCTCAAAGCAGGTACTCGGGTGAAATATGCACCTAGTTCAACCACAAAGTCAGCTCTATATCTAAGAATTATTTTATGTGCCAGGTCTCTTCAGGACGAGAACAATTATGGCTCCCCACAACTTGATGTCCCTTGCAGCTTTAAACAACATTTGGATCTTTGCTATCCCTCTTTGCCTATGATCTGTCATCCACTCATACAAACTTGCCAAGTCAGTCGTTTATGTTAACCCACTGCCCTTTTTGCATTTGATATGTTCTTCAAGTGTTAAGTTCTCTAGGCCCTCTTTCCTCATTATGTGTTCCAGAAACATTCAGCTGTCTCTTTCTGATTGTAAGTTTTCTTTTAGTTCTTATTTTCCTTAAAACCTCCTCCATGTCATGTGCATAGTCTTGTATTCTCAGCATCTGTCTGTAGAACCAAACCACATTTATCACTTAGTCTCTTCATCTTTGAAGGAAGAAATTGTTCACTATTTACTGCCATGTAGTAGAAGACATATGACATAATAATTCAGCATAATAATTTTCTTTGTTTTTAACAATTTTTTCTATGTCTTAATACTTTATTTAATTTCTGGAAGACATCTTTTACTATTCCAATGAGTTTTTTGATTTCTGTATCATTCTCCACTGTGTTACAATACTACCCAGATAGTTAAATTTCCATACCAGCTTGATTTTGACATCTGATTTGACAAGGATTTATAACAATTAGACAATGATTATGACATCTCCAATTTATAGTTCATGCTTTGGGCTGTCTCCCTTACTGATGGCCATACATTCTTAAACATTATTATTGACCCCAGGGATTTCAAATGAAAATGATCATTATTCAAGGTCACTGATAAAATAACATTATGTTTCAAGTATAGTATTTTACAAGCTAGTGATAGTAACTAACAGGTAGGTTTTGGTTTATTCAACAAATCCTAAATCCAGAAGGCGGAAAACGGGATTCGAGAGGGCAGAAGGCGGCGAACGGGATTCGAGAGGGCAGAAGGTGGTGATTTATGTTGCATTTTCTGAATGCAATTTTTTGAAGACTGTATTTATCAGCATTAACTATAAGGGAGTTCCACAGATGGGAATTGCAAGAGGAAGAAACTGTTGGAGTAGAAGTGGCAGTTGGATTTAGCAATTTCAACAGTAAAAGAGTGGAACTGAGATGCCTTTGGATTGTGTCAAGAATCTATAGATGTACAGCAGGAGCACCAGAACAGATATGGCAACAGTATTTAATGCAGGGACAAATGGTAGATTTGCAAATGTGCAAAGATGGATCATGGTTAGAAAAACTTTTTGGTACAACATGGTGACCCAATTTTCCTTGCAAGTAAATGCAGCTATTAATTCAATATAGTCATTCTACTTCAAGTCAGTGGAAAACATGGAGGTCAGGAAGATGCAGTGTGCTGCTCTCCTGGAGTCTAGCCTACTGATAGCAGGCAGAAAAGGTGCTCTATGGTGGTTAAATGAAAGCAGTTTTGTTTTGGAGGTATTAAAATTTATAAGCCATTTCTTGCCGCAGTTGACCACTGAGTGGAAATTCTTTTCAAGAGCAGCTTACCAGTCTGATCTGACTCTTGTCAAGATAGAGCATAGCAAGAGTCAAGGTACTTACTGAAGCACTACCAAATATTTATTGAGAATATTTCTAACCTAAAGAAAATTGATTCAGTGATCAAATCATCCAGTCTGAAGACATTATTGAAAACAGTAAGATCAACATTTTCATTGATATACAAGATTAATGTCAAGAGAAACACCCTTGATCAATGGATGCTGACACAAGTGACAAGATAAAGCCTCCACCAACATCATGCCAATCACACACTTATTCTTAAAATGTTCATCCAAGACATGGAGACATGTGACAAGTTCTCAGACAAGTACCAGCTCACTCCCAACTTCATTATGCAGCAATGTTTCCCACTGACAAAAGGAGAGTGAGAGAAATGAACTTCAAAGATAAATTATTTTTCTTTTTCACAAGAAATTTTACAACATAGAAAGCAAAGCTTGATACTAACTGAACTCTTCTCGGCCAGGATCAAGAAATTCTACTGTGTTAGTGTTTCCAAAGCCAGGTACTTGGATAGAAACCCCTGGTGAGTCTTGAGTTCTGTGGGTGGTTGAATTGTACACCAATCTGAAAGATACACAAATTTTAAAATAGAGAAACAAAACACAAAGCAATAAAGAAAATTTAAGTATTTAATTTTTTTTTTAATTTATAAAACACAATTTTAAAAAATAATCATTAGAAACAATTTTGTAGACAATAATGGCAAAAAAAAAAAAAAAATATATATCAAAGCTTAAAAAAATATTCAGTTCTTCAAAAAATTTACTACTTTTTATAAGATTGCTATTTTTACTGTTTTAATGCTTCTATATCCCAGACTCTTGTACTTTTCAGCTCTACCCTCTTGACATGTGGTAGTGTCTGTAAATATTTCCTTCCACTGCCCCACCAGCCAAGAACCCCCTACCAACAGAAGATCTTTCTGTTATCAACAAGCAGATTAGGACTGGTTCCATGACTTCCTTCGTGATGTCCCTTGGAATGTATTTTTGTAATCATCATATGCATCTGAGGTTCCCTTCTGGGTGAAAGCCAGCATCAATACTTTCATTCCAGCAAGGAAATACCAAGTTAAATTGCATTCATCTCCTTGGTTCTCACCTGGATGCTCAGCTTGATAATAACAGCAGAGCTTGGGCAGTAGCTCTAGATATCACAAAAGCATTTGACAGGGTTTGGCATGCTGATCTTCTATGTACACTCCAGAGCTACGGTATTACTGGACAATCGTTTTATTTAATCCAATCATTGCTATCAAATCATGAAATGAAGGTAATTTTGAACAGGCTCACTTCCAGATCTTTTCTCACATACATGAGTGTCCACCAAGTCTCTATCCTGGATCCTATGCTGTTTCCATCAATGATCTTTCTGATGTCATCAGTTCCCAAAGTAGGCATTTATGCTGGTGACACTACCATTTACTCCCGTCTCAATAGCAAATCCATCAAAGTCAATCTGGCAGCTGCTCCTGAAAAGGAGCTCCAATCAGTGGTTAACTGGGGTAGGAAATGGCTCAAATTTCAATGCCTTCAAAACTAAACTGCTCTCATTTACCCACCATAGAGAAACTTTCCTGCCTGCCATTAGCATAGCTGATGCTAGATTCATGGCGAGCAACACCCTGTACCGTCTTGGCCTCACATTTTCAATTGACTTGAAGTGGAACAACTACATTGAATCAATAGTTGCATCTACTGCAAAGAAAGTTGATTCACTGTGCCAGAAGGTTTTTCTTGTCCAAGTCCATTTTGCACATTTACAAATCTACCAGTCGTCTATGCATTGAATACTGTTGCCATATCTGGTCAGGTGCTCCTGCTACTCATCTCAAGGTTCTTGACAAAATCCAAAGAAGGATCTGCCATGTAACTGGTGCTGACTTGGCATCTTGACTTGAGTCACTTTCTCACCAACATGACAGTTTCCCTCTGTCTTTTCTACAAATATTTTTATGGCTACTGCACTGATGAGCATTCCCCCCTCCCCCCAGTGCCTGAACTATATGAGTTTAAGTGTGCTATCTAGATCCCACCCTTTTACTGTTGAACTAGATAAATGTAACTGCCACTTCTACTCCAACTTTCTACTTCCTTTTATCACACTTCCTCCCTGTGGAACTCCCTTCTTTTCCTTTGCTTCCTCAATAACTACAATCTTTAAAAATTTAAATGCAACATCACCCACCATCTATCTTCTTGAACCCTGTTCAGCTTTTATCTCTTCCTTGGTCTCCCTTATATCCAGTCTTTTCTTTTACTTTCACTCTCTGTAACCCCCTGCTTCCTGGTTGCATTCCCACCTTGCTTCAAGTGTAATTATAAAAAAAAAAAAATTTTCTTCATCTTAATTCAATAATTTTTCATATTTTTTTAAAGAGGTTTTTATGCTTAATATTATTCTAATAGATAAAAAGTAGAAACTTTTGTAATGAAAGAGAGCCTATTTTTTCATTAAAAAAGTTTTTAATTTTAAAACAAATAAGCCCTTTATTAAATAAAATGTTTTCACCATATATTCTTTTCCTTTTTCAATATAATTTTTTTGCTACTAATAATTGAATGACATAGGCTTTATCTATGTAAATAAATAAAAACTTGTTTGAGATTTTTAACTTTTTTATGTTTGCATTTTTATGTAAAATAACTTAATTTAAAAAACAAAAAAAAACAAACATTAATGAAAATGTATGGAATATTCTACAATTCATTCATTCACTAACTTTGACACTGTTTATTTAAAAATAGTTGAATGATGTCAGATTTAAATTAGAAATGCTAAAATATCAACATGTTTTTATTCTGGTGATGCTTTCTAACGTTATTATATATATATATATATATATATATCGATTTACAAAAATCTTCACTTATATAAAGAGTACATAAATTGTTTATTGAAACCTTCCTGAGAACATTCTGAATCAGAATAGTTTTAAGGGTTTAAATATTGTAGTTAAGGTGGACACATACAATACCATCATTGCCAATGTCCTGAGGAGAGAGAGCACATAGTATACACAGGTAGCTATTAAATATTAAAACCAAAATTTTATTCTCAAGAATTCTAATTTATAAATTCACTTTCCTCTCCCAGCATTTTTTTTTTATTGCTTTTACATAAAAAGAAAAAAAAAATAATTCCGATTTTTCTCACCTCATGTTATCCACAAAACAATTTTGAGCCAAGGAAATCTGACTCAAGTCGAGCCATAATGTGTAATAGTAACTAGTATGTTTTTCACAATAGACAGCAGGACTTGAGGTTTTATTTAGCTTTGCTTCAATTTGACTGCCTCCATCTCCAGGAACTGCAAAAAACAAAAAAAAAAAAATGACCAATACCTTTTTTCAATAACCAGCAAAAGCTTTTTTTTTGTTTTCAACTCTTCAAATGTGTTTTGTAAATATGACAATATCTTCAGCATATCATAGAATATTAATTTTTTATGAGCTTTTTGTGATACTATGGACACCCACATCAAAAGGGAAAAGATGGTTTTCAAGCGTTTCTGTTTGGCAGATTTTCAGAGTCAAGTGGCAACAAAACCAGAAATAGGACATATCCAAGTGGTCTATATTAACAGTTATGCATGGGATCAAGAAGGCTTCTGGTACATACTTGGCAGATGTATGTGTCACTCGAGTGGTCCCAAAGTCTCTATTTCATATTGTAAGCCACCACATTGGGGAAAGTAGATGGGCAAGGAGTTAGTGGGGAGGGGATGGAGAGCTGTCATAGTAGAATTCCAACATACCACCTACTTACCCAGCCAAACAAACAGGTAAAGCCCTGAATAAAACATCTATATATAAAAAACTGGATTTGCATTCTTATTTCTCAATATGGTGTTTATCTTTTATTGTATTTCCTTGTGAGCTTGTTTTCAGTGTACAACAAGATCAAAGATCAGAATGCAATGTGGGGTAACCATTGGCTGGTTGATGGAAAGCTTGGGTAAGGGTTGCATTGTAGGTTTACACTTCCATCTATTTCATTTTTATTTATTACAATTTATTTATTAAATAAAACATCTATTTATTAAGATTTCCCATCTTATGACCATTTTTAAGTGAGGTGCATGAACAAGAAACATAAAATAAGCCTCTAACAATGCTAATAATAATGACAATGCTTCAACTAAGAAATTCAGACAACAAAGGGTTTGGTTTGGTTGATTTTGTTTAGCAGCATATCAACCTCTACGAGTTTTTAATGCCAAAATCTAAATATTTTGAGTGCAACTGTATGCCTTCAACTACAGATAAACTATCTACTGCTGGTAAATCTAATAGAAATATGTATTTATATACATTCATAGTGTTTTGCGTTCATTATTTGCCCATAGCTAGGACCCTAACAGGTGCGACTACTCAGGGAGGTGGGGACCTGGGAACAACATCAATTAAGTGTTGGTTCCAAACTCCTCAATACCACCAATCAGAGGTCTGACACCAAAGGGATTATGAAAGTTTTTCCTATAATCAACTCCCCAAAATCTGATCAAACATTTTTTTAGGCTGAGAACTTTTCAGCACATCCTTGTATAAAAGTAAAATGTAAAAGTGAGAGAAAGAAGACTAGTCAAAATACTAATAATTGACTATGCTTCATGCAAATTAAGTCACACAATTTAAGATTATGATATTTATGTAATATATTTATTTTTTATTAATTATCTTGGAAAGACTTATCAACACCACTTATCTCTCTTCTATAAATACTCAAGTGAAGTTTTTTTGCTTTTTAGGAGATGGGGAAACTTGCTTCTAAATAAAAGTTACATTATTTATTAAGTATAAAGAGATAAACTTAGGATTTTGTATGTTTTATGCACTTAGATATTAACTTAGTTTTAGTATGAAACAAGGCTACAGTTATAACATACTTGTAATGATCCAATTTAGTCAACTATCTAATGGTTTTCTTAAACAAGCTTCTTAACCATGACTCAAAACTGTGTGTATGTGTTTTATCTAGGCAACCTTAAGATATCAAGTGTGAAAAGTACATTATATGAATAAATGAAAATATTAACCACTTGGAGCTGACTGATAAGATGGGAAATTTCCTGGTCCCAAATGGTTAGCAAAAATTGCATGCCACTCTTTGTTAAAATTCCAGACTTCACCTAATCTTTTATGCTTTCAAATTCCATAATCCATGATTTACATACAAGTTAAAAATATGCATGGATAAAGTCCTTAGTATTTGTAAATTGTCATATGAGTTTTGATAGCAGAAATAAATTGCCAGTGCAAGGAAAATCCAAAGAAATCTAAGGAAGAATCTGCAATGTTATCAGCCCTGACCTGGCATCTAGGCTTTAGTCACTTTCCCTACTGCTATAATGTAGCTTCTCTATGCCTTTTCTATAAATATTTTCATGGTAATTGTTCTGATCTTTCCTCTTTGGTACCTTAACCTTAGAAATTTAAGCACAATACTAGATTGGTAGTTATTTTTCATCATTTTACAGTTGAAATGGCAAGATGTGACTAAGTTCTATGCTAATAGTTTCTTCTCTCACACTTCTCACTTGTGAAACTCTTCTGGTTTGTTTTCCAGTCAACTTTGATCTTCAAAAATTATAATCCAATGTTAATTGTTACCTACTGTCTTCTTGATTCCTGTTCTTTTATTGCTTTCTCAACAACTGACGGATACAAATTTTTGCTCTGTCAACAATGTTGATGAATACAATATCTTGCAAATTTTTCAAAAAATGGCATTCCTGCTTGATACCAATGAGTCATCCTCCTCATCGAAACTTTGTGCGTTATCTAAGTGACAGAAAGTCACTTAGATAACACAGGTATGATAAATAATGCTTATATGAAACTTTTTTGCTAGATAAAAAAGCAAAAAAGAAGTTGATATGAGCCAACAAAATCTTGTTTACTTATAATCTGACTCTGGAACGAGATGGGGTCAGCGTTGATTACCCGACAACTGATAAGATTAGTAAATGACAAAACAAAAATTGCACACAAGGAGACAAAAAAAAAAAACTAATGTGAATTATGTCAAGGAACTTGTTTTTGTTTAATACCATGTCCTTTCAAGATATAAAGGATTATGTTAGCTTTCTACATTCCTTTATTATCTGTAAATTACTATAACTTCTTTGAAAAATTAGTGGAGTGGTTTCCCATTGCCTGCTCAACAGTTTTGAATTAAGAGCTGTCCTCCTCCTAGACTGGTTAGAGAGGACTGTCTACCATGTTATTTAACCAATAACAGAGAGGGGGAAAATAAGGGGATCCCTGCTTTTCCCCATGTGCAAAGTAAATGCAACAGGCTAGACCCCAATTCAGTTTACCAATTCATGTTTTTGCACTGATAACCATTATGCTACCTGCACATCTAACAAACTAATAGAATGACCAAAAGACAATACAGAAAATTAAAAGAAGTTCAATTTTTTTTTGTATACAAAAATTCTGAACACCTAAAACAAAAAAAAAAAGATATTTACTAAAAATGGTAAGATGGCCACAAATGTTAAAATGCCCTAACAAAATAGCAGCATACACCAAGATGCATTCACAAGATGGCCGCATACACCAAGATGCATTCACAAGATGGCCGCATACACCAAGATGCATTCACAAGATGGCCGCATACACCAAGATGCATTCACAAGATGGCCACATACACCAAGATGCATTCACAAGACACACTACAATTTTCCAAGGTCAGACTGCCTTGAAAATCAGCATTCCAAATTCTTTACTTGGGCTTTTTGAGCAACCTGAGCCCAGTGTGAAATACATAACTTTCTCAGCTTTTGAGGCAGCCCAGGGAAAGTGTTTTCATGTATATTAGACTTAATAATAATGACAAATGTTATATCTAAGACTATGACTATAATAGCCTTTTCCTTTCTTCTCTATATTTATGTGACAGTTTGATGTCCTTGTGTCAGTAAAAGCCAGGATACAGATTTTCTTGGTAGCTATCTGTTAGGTCTTCATTGCATACTACTATCTAGAAATAATATGTGATTTGGAGTCAACGTAGTCTTGCTGAAATCAGTAGTAAGCAGATAAGCTAGATCTCTAACTCTACTTGTTTATTCCTTTTCCTAATAACGATTCTTGGCACCCGTATTTATGTATTTGGATGAGTCCAACTCCTTTTCTGGAGTGGTGTTTTCATCTAAACACCACCACCACCTTTTTTTATAGATCTGCACTCTTCTTAGTAAACAGTTTTTCCAACAAGGCTCCACTTCCAACATTTCGATCAGATTATGTTTTCGCTTACACTGACATCGTATTACAATTTCAGTTTTAGGAATAGGTACTGTATCACAAAGTATGTCCATCAGTAAATTAAATTGTACTGGTTGCTTATTCTGTGCATATCTAGACCTTGATTTATATATCTCTTCTGACTAAATCATCCACCTTCGACAATGTACATCATACTACCAAGGCATTGAATAATTTTTCCTTCCTGCCAATTTTCCTTTCCAGCCTTAAAGCTTTTAAAGAAAATTTTATCACCAATCTTAAATGATCTGTTTGGGTGAAATTGTCAAATTTTCTTCTTATTCCCTAATAGTAATTTGTTTAGGATTGGGTTACTGGTTTCTTCTAAAGTTTACTTCAAATACTTCTAAAGTTTAGAGTCGGGTCAGGAAAGATAAATTGACTTATCAATAACTGCATACAAAACATTAGGCTAGTAGATAATCGTGGAGGTTGGGATATATTTGGTGATTTATCTAGTGACTTATCTTTTCTTAATATTGCTTTCAAAAGATATGTCATTTTTCAACCTAATCTGCAATGTTATTGGTCCTGATACAACGGCTGAAATATGGCAATTAAGATGAGAATAACAGTCTGAATGATGTAAATAAAGTAATCATAATACATCATCTCAGAGATATAGACAGATATAAAATTTTATCTTTATTTTTTAATCCACAATGTACATTACAGGAGGACTTATGAGTAACTTAATAGATAGTCAAGCTAAAATTTTAGCATACTGTTATATTTATTTCGCACTAAAGTCTTTGGAGAAAGCATAAACCAGTCTCTTCCTAGCTATGAATTAAACAGTGTTCTTGATATTTGGGTGGATGCCAGTCTAGGAGGCAGGGAGGGTTCTCTGAGGTGGGCAAAAGAGAACAGTTTTGTTTTTGAAGAACCTTGGGGAAAACCTATGTTCATGAGAAAGGAACTAGAGGAGAATCTGTTTAGGATGACCTTCATTATATGGTTTGACAGGAATGATTGTATTAAGTCAAATAATCGTACTGAAATTCCATATCCCTGAAGCTTATGAAGAAGGCCG